TATATTAAGTCTAGAATCTGAAGTAAAGTTTCAAAGCATTAAAGAGTAAGTATATATAATAGTTTGAAGCTTTATAAAATGTGTTTACAATTGTTAACTCTGTCGTAAAGTTCAATGCACTCAATTATGGCAAGTGGCCCGAAAAGATCTGGTTTACACTAGGTGTATTGTTATTAGACTTTGCAATAATAATTGATCTGAAGACCTCATCCATTACAGAAGATAGCTCATAATATTAATAGTCTCTGTGTAAGAGGTGAGAGCACTCTAATAGGTTGAGTTTGAACTTAAAGAGGTTGATGACGATAGAAAGGGTTTAAGTCATCGATGCCTACGACAGAGAATGAGCAGGAATCTATCGAGTAGATTTAAGGAGTGTTTGTAGTCAGATATAGTTGTAAGTCGAATGTAGGAAGTCTCATAATTGAGCTAACTATGAAAATGTTGGTCCCATCCAATCCATGATCATGTGACTCACATGCCTAATCTGGCTGTAGAGTTAAAGACCTTGGGAATGGAGGTGCTTGAGAAATTTCTGGTCCAATTAATTTATGAACCCTATACCTCTTAAGTCTAGTCAGTTTCAGATGAATTATAACACCAGTAAAGATAATGAAACATTAGAGAACTAAAGGCTATGTTAATTCAAGAGGAGAGGAGATCAAGAAAGATGAGCCCAAATTTCTAACCTCGTAGGTCTTGAAAGTGCCGGTAGCAGCAACAAAAATCCCAAGTAAAAAGGACAAAAGGAATAACTAGTCTTTCTTGAAAAGACTCGAAAGTAAAATCCGAAAGGAAATGAAGTGTTTCCTTTGCAATAAAGTGAGACTCTTCAAGTTGGATTGTCCTAAAAAAGAAGGGTTGCTTCGATAAGAAAGTAAATATTAAAGTTTTGTTTGCTATGAAATAAATCTTGTTAGAATGTCTAGTTTTACTTGGTAACTGAATGTAGAAGCATTAAGCGTAGCACATCTAATGATAGTTATGTTTTCTTATGGCATCAAAGACTAGGTCATGCTTAAGAGTTATGGGGTTGGTAAAGAATGAAATTCTTCCTCAATTAGATTTTAGTGACCTAGATATATGTATAGACTCATATAATACAGTCTATACATACTGTAAAGAAACCAGCCACAAGAAGCACTCAGCTTTTTAGGTTAAGACACACCAATACATGTGGCCCTTTCGATGCTCCTTCATGAAGCGATAAAAAAGGACCTCACAACCTTTATTGATGATTACCCACAGTATGTATATACTTATATACTGCATGAAAGATCTAAGTTGGTGGATGTCCCCAAGGTGGTCACTGATAAGATGGAAAGGTAGCTAGACAGAAAAGTAAAAGTAGTGAGATCTGATAGAGGTGGTAAGCTCTACGAAAAGTTACCTAAAATTATAAGAATTTGTACACAATACAATATGCCAAATACTCCTTAGCAGAATGGTGTAGTAGAGAGGCGGAATCGTACTATAATAGATATGGTTAGAAGCATGTTAAGTAATTGCTCGTTAATCCTTTCATTGTGGGTATATGCATTAAGAACTGCTGTGTATGTGATGAACCAGGTTCCTAAAAAGAAAGTTCCTAAGATATCTTATGAGCTGTGGACAGGAAGGAAACCTTGTTTGAAGCATCTACGTGTATGAAGTTGCAAAGCAGAAATAAGGTTATATAAACCACATGAAAATAAACTTGATTATATATTGTCAGTACGATCAGTAGATCTTTATTGGATATCCTGAAAGAATCAAAGGAGTAGAGATTCTATTCTTCTAACCGCAGTACGATAATAGTTGAATCGGGTAAAGCTACGTTCATTGAGAATGGTGAAACTAGTGGGAGTGGTGAACTACGAAGGGTGGACATTAATGAAATTGGAGTTGAAGTTCCTTCACCTTAAGTTACACCTGAGGTAGTTGTTTCTACACAATAGAACAACATAAGGATGCACTGATACCACTAGCTAAAATATATAGTCAATGAACATGTCGCAATTCAAGTAAAGAATAGTGAACCATAAGTAATTTTAAAAGAGATCTGAAAGGAAAAGCAGATCTGCCATATCAAATGACTGTGGTTGCTATTGAAAGTGAATGTGCCTTAAAGATTCATGAATGACCTGATCTCATTCAAATTCTGGAAAAAGGTTTAATGCCGCAAAGAGATGGTGATATTGAAATTTGGTACTTAGTATAGTTGCCTGATGGTTTCAATATCTTTAGTTGTAAATGGGTCTTTAAGACTAAACACAACTTGAAAAGAAATATTGAAAGTAAAAGGCTCACCTTGTTGCTAAAGGTTTCACCCTGAAAAGATGGCATTAACTATAAAGAGACCCTCTCTCCAGTTTTACTGAAGGATTCTCCTAGAATTGTTTTGGATTTGGTTGCTTATTATGATCTTGAGTTTCATCAGATGGATGTTTGACCGCCTTTCTGTATGTAAAGCTTGAGGAAGTAGATATGGATCCATATGAAAGTTTCATGGCCGCATGAAACAAGTGTAAGCTGAGAAAGTCAATACATAGACTACAATAAGCTTCCAGGCAATGGATTTGAAGTTTAATAATCCCGTCACATTATATGGTCTTGTATATATTATCGTTGATCGATGTATCTACATTAAGGTCAGTGGGAGTAGATTTGTGGTGTTAGCCTTAAGTGTTGATGTGATCTTGCTTGCTGCAAATAACATAGGCATGTAACATGATGTAAAGTAGTATATCTCTAAGAACTTTGAAATGAAAGATAGGAGTGAGGCATCTTATGTGATGGGAATAGAAATCTTTCGAGTTAGATTACAAAGAGTGTTATTTTTTTTTGTCTCATAAAGGATATATTTGTAAGATCTTAAAGATATATAAAATGGAAAAATGCTCTGTAGGAATAGCTCCAATTCAGAAGGGGGATAAGTTTAGTATGTCTTAAGAATGAATTGGAGCGTAAAGAAATAGAAAGATTTCCTTAGACATTAGTGGTTGGGAGTTTGAACTATATAAGACTTGTATTCAGCTTGATATCAGTTTTTGATATTGGAAAGTTGGGTCGATATGTAAGTAATCCCGAAATAAACCATTGGAACGCTGCAAAGAAAGGCCCCCTGGTACTTGTAAGGCACCAATGAGAACATGTTTACTTGGGTATTCAGATTCAGATTATGCCAGATGTGTCGATGGTAAAGTCAACATTTGGCTAATTGTTCATATTATTTGAGTAGTATGCCATTTCTACTTCCACTACTAAGGATGAATTATGGTATGCTTTGAATCCAGAATTCATGCATGTATGGAGGTTGCGGAAATTTATCTTAGGGCTTTGGATTGTCGACATTATGCCAAGCCACTGAGAATTTATGGTGAAAATTTCGTAACTGTCTTCTTTTGAAAAGGATGACAAGTACTAGAAGGTGCTAAGCACATTAAGTTGGAGTACTTGTCTGCTAAAGAAGAAGTTCAGAAACGGATAGTGTCATTTGAGTACATGAGAAAAGATATAATCATAGCAGATCCGCAAACTAAAGTTTTACCACCCAAGACGTTCAATGGCTATTTAGAATGTATGGATATTACAGATAAAACCTTGCTATTATAGTTATCGAATGTTCATTAAATATTTGACACGGAGAATTCAATTATAGTTAAGTTTCTGATATATTAAATATGTTATCATTAACGGTTGTGTATACACTTAAGGTTTATAGATAACGTATGATAAAAAAAAATTGAGAATAAATGTTCTTCTCATGTAAAGGAGTTATAAAATTGGAGTTGGTTTGTGATACATTGAAGGGACTATGCCGATTAAATGACATACAACCGCCATAATTCAATCAATTAATATTTTAGTAAAGATCAAATGAACTTGATATAAAAGTGCACATTAAAGTTATTAAACCCTTAAGTCGATACAAAGGTCAAGTGGGAGAATGTAAGAATATTTATATTTTATGTGACCTATATGTCTATCGGTTTAATATAAAGTTCAAGTTCATATTAATGTTTATAGATTCTAATGTAAAAGACAATACCGTGATGGATTGGTTTTGTTGAATGATTTAGAATTCGGGTATATTGATAACCCTCCTACTTTACCTTATATTTATCGATGTCCTTAATCTCTTTATTATATACATATGTGTCAACGGTAATAATCAATGAATGTCTTACCATAATATTTAATACATATGATTATATACACGGTGGCGTATTAATAGTGTTGAAGGATCGAAGAGATGTGTTGGAGAGTTTTGCATGGAGAGTTGTGTTCACACAACCTTTGATCATTATTAAAAGGATTTGTACTCCTCTCGTCACACGTACGTAAAAAAGTCTCTTTGAAAACACACATATTCATCCATTTATAGCTGTAAATACACCGATTGGAATAAAGAGAGATTCATTGAATGAGAAGAGGTGGAAGGAGCAGTGAGATGGAGTTAAAAAAACTCTAGAAACATTTCGTCGACAGTCTTGAAGACGATTGATGAAGTTGTTGGCCTTATTATTTGTATTAGCAATCCATATTAGCAAACTTCCGAAACCCAAACAGTTGTTGTAGTTAAATATTGAAGTCCCCCTATTTACATATCCAATTAAGTAAGAAATGAACTTCTAATTTGCCAGGTGTCACCCTCTCCTTCCTTTATTTAGTGACATGGTACTATTAAAAAGAGAGAAACCCTTCTTTATATAGATAGATAGAAGATAGATTGTGTTATTTGAAAAGTTTACAACTCTTACTAGTGTAATTAATTTTTCATGGTCCAATGGGAGAACTTCTTAGATGTTCTTAAATTTTTTTTCTTTTTTTTTTAGAAGTTGAATGATTAGATTGTAGAAGCACCGTAGTCTAGTGATTAAGGTTTAAAGGCTTCTACACCAGGTCTGGGGTTCAAATCTCAGGCTATACAGTTTTTACATCAGGAGGGTTTCAATTCCCGGAAGTGGTGAATGACGAATTATGCAGACTGGAGAAAAGACTTACAAGAGATCTTCAGCATGGCGCAAGGCGTACCGTCAGATATGGATCTTATAGGGCGGCTCAAGGTGATGCAGTCAAACGTGAATCCGCATAAAGCATGTAGAATTGTCGGCTGTAATATCGTCTATGTAATATTTCTCATAATTTGTAATGCATAATTATCCAGTGTTAAAAAAAATAAAAAAAAAAGAATGATTAGATTTGATAATATTAAATTAAAATAAAAACTGATTATGTTTGTTGTTTAGGTTCGACAACTATGGCAAGTACAGACTTTTGTGCGGTGCAGACAGGCTACCACACCTGATAGTGAACGGAGACCAAAGGCATTGGGGAGAGTTCTTAACACCAGGACTTTGTTCTTGTACATTACGGGATGGATCGGGTGGGTGGGGAGAAGCTACTTGATAGCGATTAGTGATGAGAAGAAACCAGCGATGAAAGAGATCATTATTGATGGACCAGTAGCTAGTCGTCTCATCTTCTGTGGTTTCATCTGGCCTGTTGCTGCTTACAGAGCATTGCTCAATGGTGATCTCATTGCCAAGGATGTCTAGAAACAAAAATCTATATTTTATCCTTTGTTTGCTTCGTTTGTATTAGAAATCTTCCAATCAAAGAATATATATATGCAGTATGAGAACATGTGATTTGGATTAAATGTTAAGAATCCTACATTGGGAAATCCAAGTAATATTCATAAAAATAGCCAAATCCAAATAATATATTTTATGATCCTATATCGAACAAATTATTGGTAAATTGATCCAAACCAGCTGAAATAACATCATAGTAACCAAATCACGAAATCCAAATTGTATTCACTTTGTTCTCATGGATTCAACCAACCAAAGCCATAGAAAGGAACCTCTAGAGCAAATAAGAAGCGATAAGAGAAAGTGTTACTAGTCAGAACCACCCCTAAGAGTAAGGACCAGATGAAGAACATACATTACAAGAAAACTAAGAAGTTACTAGGAAATTTTACTAAGAAAATAATTCCTCGTAAATTTACTACGAACTTACTTCGATTTTACGAGGAAACAAGTTTTCCTCGTAAGGTCCTCGTACAGGTACGAGAAACATATTTCCTCGTAACACCATAGTAAGCTTACGAGGAAATTACATGGCAAAAGTCCATTTCCTCGTAAGCCCGTAGTAAGTCAATTTCCTCGTAAAGTCCTAGTAAAATATTACTACGAAATTAAGAGGAATACATTTGTTACTACGAAATTAGAAAGAACTGGATTGGAAATATCGAATTTAAATCAAAAACGTGTTTTGTACCTACATTTCCTAGCAATTTCCTAGTAAATGTTCGGATTCGGAAATTTCTATAAATACCACAATTGTGATTCATTTGAAACACACCAAAAAATAATCAGCTATAAGCTTGATCAAACACAAAAAAATGTCCAGTCCGGGAAATATTTTCGAGTTGCGGAAGTGGATGTATTCACACAGAGATAATAACGGGAGGGTGACGAAAGAATATCTTGAAGGGTTGGAGACGTTTATGCATCAAGTAGATTCTACACCACTCACGCAGAAAAGTGGTGAGATGTTCTGTCCTTGTCGGAAATGCTGCAATACAAAATTAGGCTATCGTGACAATGTTTGGAAGCATTTAATAAATAGAGGTTTCATGCCATATTATTATATTTGGTATCAACATGGAGAAGACGATGCTAGTTGTAGGAATGAAGGTAGCAGTAGTAATAGCAATTTTCAGGTTGAACTGGTTGATCATTTGCGTAATGAAAATAGCTATCATCACCAAGAGGAACAAATGGTAGATTGTGATAGGGTTCATGATATGGTAGGTGATGCATTTGTAACTCATGATGATGATGAAGTTGAAGAACCTAACTTAGATGCAAATTTTTTTTTATGAAATGTTAGATGCTGCGAATGAGCCAATTTACAGTGGTTGTAGAGAAGGTCTGTCTAAATTGTCGTTGGCTGCTAGAATGATGAGTATTAAAACCGATCACAATCTACCTGAAAATTGTATGGATGCATGGGCAGACTTGTTTAAAGAGTATTTGCCAGAAGACAATGTGTCTGCTGAATCTTATTATNGAATGAGCCAATTTACAGTGGTTGTAGAGAAGGTCTGTCTAAATTGTCGTTGGCTGCTAGAATGATGAGTATTAAAACCGATCACAATCTACCTGAAAATTGTATGGATGCATGGGCAGACTTGTTTAAAGAGTATTTGCCAGAAGACAATGTGTCTGCTGAATCTTATTATCAGATTCAGAAATTGGTATATAGTCTTCGGTTGCCCTCGAAGATGATAGACGTTTGCATCAACAACTGCATGATTTACTGGAGGGATGATGAGAAGTTAGAAGAATGTCGATTTTGTAAGAAGCCACGATTCAAACCGCAAGGTCGAGGGCGTAATAGGGTACCGTACCAAAGGATGTGGTACCTACCAATCACAGACAGATTGAAAAGATTGTACCAATCTGAGGAGACTGCTGAAGGGATGAGATGGCACGCCGAGCATACTCAGACGGATGGAGAGATGACTCATCCATCAGATGCAAGAGCCTGGAAACATTTTAACAATGTACATCCACATTTCGCTAGCAATAGCCGGAATGTGTATCTTGGATTATGCACTGATGGATTTAGTCCATTTGGAATGTCTGAGAGAAAATATTCATTGTGGCCGGTCTTTCTTACACCGTATAACCTGCCACCGGAGATGTGCATGCGACAAAAGTTTCTATTCATGACCATATTAATACTTGGTCCAAAACATCCAAAAAGATCTCTCGACGTTTTTCTACAACCACTGATAAAAGAGTTGAAAGATTTGTGGTCAACAGGGGTGAGGACACATGATTGTTCAACGAAAACAAACTTTACGATGCGAGCTATGCTTTTGTGGACCATAAGTGACTTTCCTGCATATGGGATGTTGTCTGGTGGACTACACATGGGAGATTAGCTTGTCCATATTGAAATGGAATGACAGATGTGTTTCAGTTGAAGTATGGTAGGAAGACTAGTTGGTTCGATTGTGAACGTCGATTTCTTCCCGTTTACCACCCATACCGAAGAAACAAGAAATTGTTCAGGCACAAAAGGGTTGTCAGAGACACTCCTCCTCCATATTTAACTGGAGAACAAATCGAAGCGCAAATCGATTACTACTGTGCTCTAGAAACAGCTCCTCGTGGTGGGAATTGGCATGTTCCCAGTAATATGCCTGATTCTTATGGTGTTCAGCACAATTGGCACAANAGAAATTGTTCAGGCACAAAAGGGTTGTCAGAGACACTCCTCCTCCATATTTAACTGGAGAACAAATCGAAGCGCAAATCGATTACTACTGTGCTCTAGAAACAGCTCCTCGTGGTGGGAATTGGCATGTTCCCAGTAATATGCCTGATTCTTATGGTGTTCAGCACAATTGGCACAAAAAGAGTATATTTTGGGAATTTCCATATTGGAAAGATCTTCTTTTATGCCACAACCTCGATGTGATGCATATAGAGAAGAAATTTTTTGAAAACATTGTGAACACTATATTGAATGTCCCAGGGAAGACAAAAGACAACGTAAAATGAAGGTTGGACTTACCCGATATCTGCTCAAGGAGTGAGCTACATATAAAAAGCAATGGGCAAGTTCCAGGTCCAATATTCAGACTGTCATCAGAAAAAAAAAGTCTGCGTTGTTCAACTGGGTGGCTTCAGAAGTGAAGTTCCCTGATGGGTATGTTTCAAATCTCTCAAGATGTGTTGAGAAAGGGCAAAAGTTCTCCGGGATGAAGAGCCATGATTGTCATGTCTTTATGCAGCGACTACTTCCCTTTGCGTTTGCGGATCTAAGGAATTATAGCATTTTTTAGGGATCTGAGCACCCGCACTCTTAAAGTGGAAGTTGTCCAACAACTTCATGAAAACATCCCGTCTTAATATGCAACTTGGAGAAAATATTCCGCCTACTTTTTTCGACGTCATGGAACATCTAGTTGTCCACCTCTCGTATGAGGCATTACTTCGTGGACCCGTGCATTATGGATGGATGTATCAGTATGAAAGACCCATGAAAACTTTGAAAGGAAAAGCCAAAAACCTAGCAAGAGTTGAAGGTTCTATTGTTGCGGGAAGTTTGACGGAAGAAACATCACATTTCACATCATACTACTTTGCACCGAAAGTACGTACAAGGAAACGAGCTCCAAGAAGATATGATGATGGTGGTGTCGTGCCGACATATATGGAAGACGATGTTCCAGACATCTTTTGTCAAATTGGACGATTGGATGGGAAATTTAAAAAGGTTTGGTGGTCGAGTGATGAAGACGTCCATAGTGCACACTGTTGGGCCCAAATACGGCCCATTAGCTGAAATTAACAGGCTTAAATAATAAGAACTGACAATGGGTTATTATAAGCCCATTACCAATTAAGTCTTGAGAAAGGAGTTAAGAAGAAGCCGGAGGCTATTTTGCTCAGGAAAGAAAGGTTAACAAAACAAGTCACGGAAGAGAACTCCGGACCTAATTCACAAAGAGCTAGTAGGAGTAGCTCAGGATGGGTGCGCCGGACCCGGTCAAAAGGAGACTGTTGAGAATCCCTCAACTCACGGAGAAAATCTCGGATGTTAGTTGAGGTCGTTGAAACATGATCGCGAGCTATAAAAGAGGAGGAGGAGATCAGAGCAAGGGGTCCAGATTTTGATTCATTATTATTCACATATTCAAGAACTCTAGAAACATTCTTTATTCTTTGTAGTCACAGATCAAAACACTTGTAATCGTCTTTTACCGAAAACATCAATACAATCATATTCATTCTATAAGCTCTAAACAGGATTCAGCCCACGATTATCTTTCTCCAATCTAAACCTGATATAAATTAGGAAGTGAGTTTTATCCCTCACATTTTGGCGCTGACTGTGGGGAACGAGATAATTGAATCCTTTACTCCGTAACTTGAAAATGGATCCATCCAACCAGGCAACAAACCCATCTATCCTTGATCCCGTGATCCAAATCGACGGCTCACCGAACAAAAGAGACCCGGATCCTCAGGACCCGGAGCCTCGATCCGCCGATCACCGATCTGAGCAACAGCCTCCGGCTAATGCTCAACCGAACCAGACCACCACTGGAATAACTAACCCGAGATCCTCCAGTTGAAACAACTCTGGGGTTACAGCCCCCGAGAACCCTCAGCGTCAATCCGCTCTGAACCAATCGGAGGCTCAGCTATCCGAGATGCGTCGAATGATGGTGCAATTGGTAGATAGAGCTCAGGAGAATGAGCGTACGTTGCAACAGCTAACTGCTCGGCAGCAACGATTCGAAGAGGTAACTAGATCTCTAACCGAGACGACTCAGCCATTGCAACGTCAGGGCTCGGGAGTCACTTTCCGAGATCGATTGACCGAACCCACGTTCCCTCGCGGACGTCTGGATTTTTCCCCTAATAACACTGCTCGAGATGGGCAAGGATCTGTTCTCCGGACATCTCATGCTGGAATAACCCCTGCATTCAGTCCACCCGTAACCAGCGCTATGGGGAGTAACATA